AGGCTGCTTTATAGCAAACTTTTAAAAATATAAGTACAAGGAGCACACTCTAAAATAATGATAAAAAGTATATTATGTACATAATCCAGGTATATCATTATCCACTATCATTATCAACTATCATATGCTATACAGAATTGTATGTGCTATACTTTCAGATGACTGCAGCTCAGTGGGTTTGTTTACACAAACATCACCGCAAACACATGAATAACGTGTTGCACTATGACATTACAATAGCCCCAACATCACTAGGCAATAAGAATTTTTAAGCTCCATTAAAATCTTATGGGGCCTGGCGTGGTGGCTCATGCCTGTCATCCCAGCACTTTGGGAGGCTGAGGCAGGTGGATCACTTGAGGTCAGGACCTCAATGTATTGTTGAGACCAGCCTGGCCAACATGGTGACATTCTGTCTCTACTAAAAATACAAAAATTAGCCAGGCATGGTGTCATATGCCTGTAATCCCAGCTACTTGAGAGGCTGAAGTGGGAGAATCACTTGAACCCGGGAGGCAGAGGTGGTAGTGAGCAGAGGTCATGTCACTGCACTTCAGCCTGGGCAACAGAGCAAGACTATCTCAAAAAATAAAAATAAAAATCTTATGGGACCACTGTCATATATGCAGTGTGTCACTCACCAAAATGCCCTCATGCAGAATGTGACTATTAGCTGCGGTATTCTCCCAATAAAGTAACTTAGAGAAAAGAAAATGTTATTAAGAAAATCATAAGGGAAGATGGGCAAATAGGAACATCTCTGGAGTGCAGTTCCCAGTGAGAACAATGCAGAGGGTGAGTGATAACTGCATTTCCAAACGAGTTATTACTATCCACAGACCAGGAGATTCCTGGGCTGAAAAGTGCCATGAGTCTCCAGCACAGCAGCCAGAGCAGTGGGTCTCCACACAAAAACTCACAGAAATCTAGGCGGCCATTTCAACTGGCGCCTGGAATGCCTGGGAGACAGAGCTGCCCATTCAACTGAAAAAACTGGGGCTGAAACAGGGACTCAGGTGATCTGGCTCGGCAGGTCCCACCCCTACAAAGACCGGCAATCTGAAACGCTCTGGATTGAGAGTTTCACAGCAAGCTCAGCTGGACCTGAGACGGTCCAGTTCTGTTGGGGGAAGGGCGTCCGCCATTACTGAGGCAATCCGTCACTACTGAGGCAATCCACCATTACTGAGGCAGTCCATCATTACTGAGGCAGACTGCCATTACTGAAGCAGTTCTAACTATACCCCTATAAACAGAACTGCAAGGACGTTCATGCAGCAGCAGGGCAGAGCCCACGGCAGCTCAGCAATGCCTCTGCTGGCAGACTAAGACTAAGCTACCTCCTTGCTGGGCAGGGCAGCTCTGAAAAAGGGCAGCAGCACATTTATATGTTCCATGGAAAGGAACTTATAAATAAAGCCCCATCTTCCCAGGATAGAGCACCCGGGAAAAAAGGCGATTATGAGTTCCACTGCAGCAGACTTAAACGTATCTGCCCAGCAGCTCTGAACAGAACAATGGAGCTCATAGCTCAGCGCTTGAGCTCCTATAGGGGACAGACTGTCTCCTTAAGCAGCTCCCCGACCCCTGTATATCCAAAGAGTCACCTCATAAAGGAGAACTCAGGCTGACATCTGTGGGTATCCTTCTAGGACAAAGACAGCAGAAGAAGAAACTGGTAGCAACCCTGACTGTTCTGCAGCTGCTGCAAGTGATCCCCAGGCAAGCAGGGCCTGGAGTGGACCTCCAGCAGTCCTACAGCAGAGGGGCCAGACTGTTAGAAGGAAAACTAAGAAACAGAAAGGAAATAACTTCATCATCAACAAAAAGGACATTCACTCAGGGACCCCATCTAAAAGTCACCAACTACAAAGAACACAGGCAGATAAATCCACAAAGATGGGAAGAAGCCAGGGCAAAAAGGAGGAAAACACCCAAAACCAGAATGCCTCTCCTCCTCCAAGGGATCACAACTCCTCACCAGCAAGGGAACAAAGCTGGATGGAGAAAGAGTCTGATGAATTGACAGAAACAGGCTTCAGAAAGTGGATAATAACAAACTTCTCTGAGCTAAAAGAACATGTTCTAACCCAATGCAAAGAAACTAAAAACCTTGAAAAAAGGTTTGACGAAATGCTAACAAGAATAAACAGCTTAGAGAAGAATATAAATGACTTAATGGAGCTGGAAAACAATACGAGAACTTCACGAAGCATACACAAGTTTCAGTAGCCAAATCGACCAAGGAGAAGAAAGAACATCAACTCAATGAAATAAAACGGGAAGGCAAGATTAGAGAAAAAAGAGTGAAAAGAAATGAACAAAGCCTCCAAGAAATGTGGGATTCTGTGAAAAGACCTAATCTACATTTTATAGGTGTATACCTGAATGTGACAGAGAGAATGAATCCAAGCTGGTACACAATCCACACAATATGCTGCTGTGGTATTTTCAGGGTGTTGTCTTGGTTTTTATCTGTTCATTTGTTTGGAGTTGTGGTACCTCTGGTTGCAGGGGTGGAAGACATATAGCCCTCTATTGAAGGCTGGGCAAGGCCCTTCCTGTGGTTTATTTTTTATGGACTTTTACTCCCCTCGCCTCCTCATAGGTAACCAGTGGAAGGTGTTTATGTACTTTTATTTGTGCCAATTCCTTAAAAATACAGTGGCTTTATGTATGTATTTTTAATTTACCTAACCAGTGTTGCACCACGCATCTCTTGCTGTTTCTTACCCTTTTCATTCAGCACAGAAATGCTCAGATCCACCCACGCTGCTGTGTGCACAGGAGGCCCGTGGTTTCTAAGCCCTTCTTTGGTGCAGCCACACCTGCGCCTATCTGTTCTCCCCATTTTGAATGTTTAAGGTACAACTGACAGTCACTTGCCTAGTTAACAAATCCTGTTTCCAGGGATTGGAAAAAGAGGAGGTACTGCATCTCCATAGCCCTGAGCCCTGGGAGGAAAGGGAAAGGTCAAGGAGAGGTCAGCCCAGCCAGGCCAACTCTGTGACCACTAGTCCCCTTGGGCAGCGGCTCAGCCCAGCTCTGCTTTCTCACTTGCAGCAGAGTCAACAATCCCTGCCCCCCAACCTCAGGGCTGATATGATGCTTCCAGGAAATGACAGGAGAGGAAATGGCTGTGAATGATGGGCATGGCCACCCGTGGGTCAGCAGCCTGCCCCAGCCCCCTCCCCAGCTGCCCTGCACCCACCCTAGCTGCAAGGAGGCACTCACTCTGAGGGTCATACAATGAATTGTTACATCCTGGGTACACCTCTGCTTCCCTAGTCACACTGCCCTGCTCCCCATTCAGGGGCTGTGACCCTCCTGGCAGCTGTAGGGAGGTACACCATCCCCTCAGGCACAAAACCCACTCCAGCTTCCCCTGGATCTTTGCCAGTGTCGCCCTGTCCCTTCCTCATAAACCCCTGCCACCATTTCTACTCATGAGACAACGTTCTAGCCCAGTGTGGGTTAGAACATTAGTACTGAAAAAAAAAAAGAGGGGGGTGGGATAGCTATTATTGTTTAGAAGTGAACAGTTCTCAGTTGCTTTGGGCAAAGTGGATGACACTTACCATGAGTGGGGCTTGCAGACTGGAAGTGGCTCTGGTGACTCAGTGAGTGAGTGGTGAGTGACCGCGAAGGCCAGAGCACTACTGTGCACCACTGCAGACTTCACCAGCACTGCACACACGGGCTGCTCGACATTTACCTGAATGCCCTTCCCCGACTCCCACACTGGGGAGATTCCAGAGAGACTCGTGGCAGGCTTTTAGGGTCACCCCAGCATGCGGCGTGGCTCAGTTCATCTCCCCTCAAGAATAACAGCAGCAGTGGCAGCAACAAGGAGTGAGAACATGAACTCCATGTTTAAGCCACAGACATCAAGAATGCACGCAGCCTAGGCGTGCACCGGCTTCCCAGCTCCCTCCAGCGAAGACCCCCAGGGGCAGTGGGCCAGGCCTCTCTGCTGCGGGAAGAAGGGCCTGAACCAGACTACCCAGCGTTGGCCGAACCCTCCCGCGGACAGGCATTGCCCTGGCATCTGTGCTCCCCGGGCCCAGTTTCTAGTCGGCCTCACTGACTGGGATTACTGATTTCCTTCAGGGCCTGTTTTTCCTAGGAGCCTGTGAGCTTCTGCAAAACTGCCACGAATCACGTTCTTCCAGTGCTTTGGTTCTCCCCGGCCCTCAGGACAAAGTCCAGCTTTCCTCGTTATGGCAGCAAAGGCGCTCCCTTTGACACGGAGGCTTTCCTCTCCTGGCAGCTTCAGCCCTGCCAGTCCCCGTTCTTGCTCTGTGCTGTGTCCAGTCATGTTGTTGAGGTTTCCGAAAGGAACCACACTCTCTCTTCCTCAGGACTTTTCCCCATGCCTTTTCTTCAGCCCCAAATATGCTTTCCCCTGCTTCTTTCCCACCCCTTGGGTAATTCTGACTTGTCCCTCTGGTGTCGGAAGTCCCTCACGGTTCATAGGAAGCCTTTCTGGCTCACCAGCCACAGACAAGGTGCACTGCCCAGGTGAGCACGTGCAGTGTGCACCTGCGTGTCCTTGTGCAGCACAACCCCCCCTGGCTACACCACAAGCCTTGGGACAATGTGTCCCCTAAAAACTCATATTTTGAAGTCCTCTCTCCCAGGATGTGGACTTCTTTGGACACAGAGTCATTATAGAGCAAATCAGGCTAAAATTAGGTCATTAGAGTGGCCTCTTACCCAAAAACTTGGTGTCCTTCTAAAAGGGGTGAATGTGGAGAAAGACAGGGAGAAGGCTGGGTGAGAATGAAGGCAGAGACCAAGGTGAGCTTCTACAAGCCAAGAACCCCAGACATCACCAGCAAACCGCAGCTGGGAGAAACGCATGGCTGGGAGAAGGAAGCAACCTGCCGGCCACCCCATCTGGGATCTCCAGCCTACAGAACTGAGACAATCAACTGCTGTGATTTCAGCTGCCCCATCGGTGAAGCTTTGCCACCCTAGAAAACTAATACAGGCAGCAATCGTGTCTGTACTTCTTTACTTCTTTCCACTTCATCTACAGAGCTTGCCACAGCAATTGGAACAAAATTGGAGCTCTGTGCATATTTATTGAAAGAAACCATTGTACTCTGGAGAACAAGGAGGAGATATGATCCTGCACGTGAGGCTCTCATGCAATGAGCGCACAGAGCAGGAATGAGATAACTCCAAGTGTGTATCATGCCAGGTTAGACACACGGACAGTCAGGCCACTGTGAGTGCACGTCCCTGTAAACCAAACAGAAAGTTCTAAGCCCTCCCAACCATCTGAATGGATGGCCTCTCAGCCAAGGCATTCCAAAGTTAACCTGTGAAACCAGTTCAGGCCATGAGGGGAAGGGGAGCCAGACATGCCTCATGATACCCTCCTCCCTTTTGGAATTACTGATAGAACAGCCTCTTTGAGTCTGAGAAGAAACATTTGCAACCGATTCTCTCTGAAGCCTGCTATGTGGAGGCTTCATCCGTATGATTAAACCGTGGTCTCGACAACCCCTTACTGTAAACCAGACATCCCTTTCTATTGATTCCAGGTCTTTAGATAATAACTCAATCAACTGCCAATCTGGAAATCTTTGAATCCGACTATCAAGCCCCCAACTCCAGTTGTCCCAACTTTCCAGACAGAAACAACGTACATTTCACATGTATTGATTGATGTCTTATGTCTCCCTAAAATGTATAAAACCAAGTTGTAGGTCCACCATCTTGGGCACATGTGGTCAGGACCTCCTGAGGCTGTGAGCATGTCCTTAACCTTGGCAAAGGTGTGTGTGTGTGTGTGTGTGTTAGTGGCAGGTGTACAACACAAGTTCGGAAGGGTGTGGCATCATTGCATTATGGAGAGGAAGCCAGCAGCACTGGGTCTAGAGTTACGAGATCTGGCTTCGAGTCCTGGTTCTACTTTTCAGCTGTTTCCTTCAGCGTCCTCATCTGTACAGGGTTTGGGAAGGTTAAAGAGGGAAAAGGGATACAAAAACACGCTGAGAAAAGAAACGCGGTTCCACAGAAGAGTGAGCCCTCATGTAAAGCGTGAGCTCTGGGTGATGACGTATCAACACACACTCCTCACTTGTACGGATTGGACCCCTCGGTGCCAGACGTCCATAGTGGGGGGCTGTGTGTGGGAGCAGGGGGGATCTTCCTGGACTTTCTGCTCAATTTTGCTCTAAGCCAAAAAGTGGCTCTTTAAAAAAAAGTAAATTCAAAAATTTTAAAACGTAAAAATACATAAACCCATTGGATAAAATTACAACCATTGAAAAAGAAAGAAAAGGAAAATGGAAAACCGCTATAGACGTGGTTTAACTGAGTTGACTTGAGAGCTTTGGTTGAAAAGCACAAAGACAATGGTGTAAGAGTTCCCAGTGAAATCACAGCTCATGAGGTGCATGTGAGGGAAACTGGCAGAGGAAGATTCAAGAGGGTCTAGAAGAATGGGTTGTCATGAACCCGTAGAGTAAGAACTGGGGTTAGGTCGTGAGGAGAAGCGCTGCCTGCTCACACCGTCCCCCTCTCTGTCAGTCATCCTGGGCAAGAAGCCAGCCAGGGAGATGCCGAGGCCAGGCCCTGAGTGTACCCCCAGCCTTGCCCTGAACCTGCACTTGCATACGTATTTCTACCTGTGCCACCGACATAAATACAAACACAGGGGGGTTCAACAACACCAGCGCATTCCCTCACCGTTCTGGAGGCTGGAAGTCTAAACTCAGGGTGTGAGCTGGCCGTGCTCCCTTCAAAGCCCTGAACGGAGGGTCCTTCCTCCGCTTCTCCTGCGTCCGGCAGCCCCAGAGATCCTTGGCTGTAAGCAGCATCACCGTGATTCGTCTCACGTGGTCTCATTCCCTCTGTGTCTGTCTCCACGTGGCCTTCTCCTCCCTGTGTGCACCTGTGTCCAAATTTTTTCCCCCTCCTCCACCTCCTCCTCCTCCTCCTCCTCCTCCTCGTCCTCCTCCACCTCCTCCTCCTCCTCCTCCACCTCCTCCTCCTCCACCTCCTCCTCTTCCTTCTCCTTCTTTCTTCTTGTTCATCTTCTTTTAGAGTAAGGTTCTCGCTCTGTGGCCCAGGCTGAAGTATAATGGCACAATCATAGCTCACTGCAGCCCCAAACCCCTGGGCTCCAGCAATCCTCCTGCCTCAGCCTCCTAAGTAGCTGAAATCTCAGGCATATGCCAGCCACCACACCCTGGTAATTAAGAAATTTTTTTTCTAATTGTAGAGATGCAGTCTCACTACGTTGCTAGGCTGGTCTCAAACTCCTGGCCTCAAGCAAACCTCCTGTCTTGGCCTCCCAAAATTCTAAGATTACAGGCATGAGCCACCATGCCTAGCAAATTTCCCTGTTCTTATGAGGACACCAGTCTTTTGGATTAAGGCCCACCTTAGGGCTCTCACCTTAATACGGTTACATCTGTAAAGACTCAATTTGCAAATAGGCCACATCCATAGGTCACATCCAGATAGTTCAACACATCTTTTAGGAGGACAAAATTCAACCCATAACAGTGGCTAGGGTAGCCCATCCCCTCACCTTGTCCCCAAGTGCCAGGCAGAGAGGAAAACCCCAGGTGTAGAGTTCTGAGACCTGCGCTTGTATCTCAGCTCTGTCTGACTAGCTGATGACCTCCAGCAAGTTGTCCAAACTGTGAGCCCCAGATTCCACATCTGTAACAGGGATTGTGCCTGCAAGGCCTTCTCCCCACTGCTGTTGTGAGGATTCCAAGAGATAGTGTTAGTGGATCGCTTCGTAAACACTAAACCTCCACACAAACATCTATTGTCATTTCTTCAAATAAAGGGCCAGCTTCAACCATCTGTGGCTACAAAAAAAGGGGGCAAGTTGACGTCAATGCTCTAATTCCAGCCAATTGCATGCATTCCCCATCTGCCCACACAGGAAGTTAAACCCCTCAAAGCACCTTTCTGTTATTTCTGGGGGTTCCCCTGGGCTATGTCACACGCCTTCTGGTACGTTCCCCAGCGTCTGCTCCTCTTCCCCGCTCCTGAGACCAGGACTGCCTTCCCAGCTGTTGGAACTCTCAAGATCACCACTGTTCTGCTGCCATTGGGCCCCCCAGCTCAGGCCTTGCAAAAGGGGCGCACGCTCCCCACCTTCTCCTCTGCTCTCCTCATTCCCCTCCACACCCGGCTTAAGCTGCGCTATCACCTTTAACCAGGCCTGGGTTGAAGTTTCAGGAGGGGCGCTCAAAACAGGGAACCTTGGGGCTGTCCAGTCAGGCCCCTGGGCTTGCCTCCCTGGGGCGGGGCCTGCCCCACCAGGATGCTGTGAGCACACCTGCCCCCGCCCACCGTGCAGGCCAGCAGCCCTCCAGAGATTCAGTGAAAGAAGGAGCTCCTCCCACCCATGGGAAGCAAACTCTGCCTCCCTATTCCTCAGTTCCTGTCCTGGGACAGGCCACTTTCTAGAAGGACTGTCAGTCAGAATTCCCACTCCATTCAGGGAAGTCCCCATCCCGTCCCTCACCCCACGGGCCTGCAGCATTGCCTCCTGACCCCGGTCATACAATTCCTCCTGCACATCATAGTCCAGAGGTCGCAAATCGGGCATGTAGATCTGTTTCATTTGGGTCACCCAGTTTAAAAAACATATTTGAGTTGTTAGCAATATTCCCATTGAGATACTTTACATTGAAAAAATCAAAATTTCTGTCTTCTTTTGAAAACGACATTCAGCCTCTGGATCTGCACGTCAGCCATCACTGGAGCTCTGCAGCAGCCGCGGTAGTTGGGATGCGTGTCCCTCCAAATCCCCTGTTGAAATGTGATCCCTGTTGTTGGAGGTGGGGCCTGGTGGGAGGTGTTGGGGTCATGGGGGCGGATCCTTCATGCAGGTCGTGCTGCCCTCCTTAAGGAAATGAATGAGTTCTCGCTCTATTAGTTCCCAAGAGAGGCTGGTTGTTAAAAACGCCCTGGCGCCTCCCAGCACGCTTGCTTCCTCTTGCCACGCGATCTGCTCACACGGCTCCCCTCCACTTTCCACTCTGAGCGGGAGCAGCTCAAGGCCCTCACTAGAAGCAGACGCCTGACCATGAACTTTCCAACCATCGGAATCGTGAGCCAAAATAAACCATCTTGTGTGTACATACACCAGCCTCAGGTATTCCTTCATAGTAACACAGAATGGCTTAACACAGCTCCTTCCTCTAACTGGAGCTCACGTTCTCCAATTCGCCAATGCCCACGGTCTCCTTTAGTCCTGTGTGTCGCCTTCCTGGCCTCTGCAGCCGTCTGAATTAGTGGGGACATGCGTCTGCCGAGGGCCCCAGAGCTCGCCCTGGCGCCATTCTCTCCTCCAGCGTGGGGGGTGATTCTGTTTGTCCTTCCTGCACAATGCCGCCGGGAGCGTTCCAACTCTCAGAAACACCTGCACAAAGAAGAATACAGCCTCACAGCAGCAGGAACCGGCAAGTGCTGGGTGCCCGCAGGTTGCAGTAGAATTCACTCTCAATCCATGTGGGGCCAGGGATCATTCCTTCCCGCGTTGTGCCACCTCCTGTGGGTACCATAAAAAAAGTGATGGAGACTGATTCCTTACACAACAAGCACGTACAACTGACGTCTAGTTAGTGATGAGGACCCAGTCAAGCGGGAACAGTCTGCCCCACAGGTAAATTTCAGTTTAATCTCTTTTAGGAAGCCCGTACTTGCAATTTTTAAGGAGTCAATTTTCTAGAAATTTCTCCATAAAATTATTTTTTAACCTTATGATTTGGGCACCTATTCACATCAGGTCGCATGTTCTGGTGTTTCGATAGACTCCAAGGCAGAGCGTGGTAACAGAGATGAAAACTTCAGAGGCTAAATGATGGTGGGAGGCCAGGGGAATTTCCACAGCACTAGAACCTCCGACACTCTGTGGGCAGAAGAGAGAGCATGAAAGAGGCAGCACTCTTGAACTTCTCTTTGCGTAGAGGCACAGGTGCACTCTCTTGTTTGACCTTGAAATATTAAGGGAACCACAAAAAGGTATCTGCTTTGGGAGATCCCTCGTGCCCCAGTGCTGAGAAGGGGAGGTGGACTCTGTCACAGAGCTCTGTCCCTTTAGGCCTGTTGACCTCAGCATGGTTGTAGGGAGAGGTGCCTCTCCCTCGTTCTGTCTCTAATATCCTCCCCTCCTTGCTGCCTCACCCAGCCCACCTTCCCAGCTGCACAGCCAATCAGCCTTGACCCATTTAACCGAAATGTCGCTAATGTTATGGGACAGCAAAGGGAGAATTCCAAATTTTCTGCCTTAGAAGACACAGCTTTCAGCTAGGTGCAGTGCCTCACGCCTATAATCCCAGCACTTTGGGAGACCCAGGCACGCGGATCACCTGAGGTCAGAAGTTTGAGACCAGCCTGGGCAACATGGTGAAACCCTGTCTCTACTAAAAATGCAAAAATTAGCCTGTGACAGTGGAGTGTACTGTAGTCCCATCTACTCGGGAGACTGAGGTAGGAGAATCACTTGAACCCAGAGGGCAGAGGTTGCAGTGAGGTGAGATTGCACCACTGCACTCCAGCCTGGCGACAGAGCAAGTCTCTGTCTCAAAAAAAAAAAAAGAAACAAAACAGCTTTCTCATCTTCGGTGTAGGTTCCCCACATTGCCTCCAAGACCCTGGGCCCATACTTAGCGCCTACCACCTAGAACCCTCCTTTTAAGCATTTTTTAATTCCTCAAATTTTAGACCCAAGGAGGAGGCTCGCACCTGCGCATATGGACCTAGGCCTTAATATTCAGCGCACGACAAGATGATCACCTCTAGCAACAGAGCCCAGCTATTGGCATCAGGAACACACACCTCCAGCAACGTCAGGCCTGCCCTGTGAACCGGGAAGTGTTCATTCTGGACATGTGGATAGACTAGTCTAAGCTTTCCCGTCAATGGAGGTCTGACAAGGCTCTGGCTTCCTAACACCTGAAGGACTTTCATCAGCGAATTCAGCCCTGTTCCCTCCTACTCCTCAAAGCCACACTCCCCAGTGTCAATGGACTATTCAGAGGAGAAGGGAACAGCAGCATTTATGGGGTGAGGATTTGGGTTCAAGTTCTTCTCTGCAACTTAAATTCTCTACAGCTCACTTCCCTCTCATGTCTGGTCCATTAATACCTCGTCCTATAAATAGTCCTGTAAATTTGCACACAAAGTTAGTCATTAACCAGCACCTAGACGCATGGGGGTTACCGCGTGATGACTGAGGGTGATGACTTCCACCTGAGCTGAGCATAAACGTCCTTCAGGAGCATTCAGTCTGTGTCTCTGCAGCATGACTGTCAACTCTAAGAAATGCTTCCAGGATTAAAAGGCTGGTTCCTTAGGGTGTCAAGAGAGTAAGGCCTATCGGCGATGAAGCAGGAATATCCAGGGGGAGGCCTTTCAGAGAACCAGGAGTAAATATGACAGAAAGAAATCCATTTTCATTTTTATTACTGAATCATTTCCTGTAGCATCATTGTTAATTATTAACGAATACCAGGAACTAAGTTTATTTTATTATGAATTAATTCTTTTGTTATACTTATTAATCTATTAGTGATAATTAGTAATTATTAATTGACTTACTATATAGATTAAGTAGTGCATAATGCTGAAGTGGTTGAGGGCAAACGATGGAACAAAACCAGAAGGATAAGCAGCGAAAGATCTCGGCTTGTCGTGGGGCTTCCAGAAAATCGGACTAAAACATTCTGCAATTGGAAAAGGCATGTTCTCTTCTGTAGTAGGTTCTCTGCACAAATGTTTTAAAACTTCAGATCACCCTACTTTTTTTTTTTTGATACAGAGTCTTGCTCTTTTGCCCAGGCTGGAATGCAGTGGTGTGATCTCAGCTCACTGCAACCTCCACCTCCCGGGTGCAAGCGATTCTCCTGCCTCAGCCTCCGGAGTAGCTGGGACTACAGCCATCCGCCATCACGCCGGCTAATTTTTGTATTTTTAGTAGA